TTGCCTTTTTGGTTTAACAATGGGGAGACACACTGTGTTTCTTTCATGGCTGGATTCTCAAAGCCCAGAGTAGTGCTCAGACATAGTGAGGGTCCAATAAATGCTGGTTGGTAAATGAAGAAGTGATAGCTGGGGAGAGAGGAAATTCGTCTCCTGCTTTGTGTGTGTGTGACACCAGTGTATATTGTTCTGATGCTGATTTCAGTAAGATATGTTTCAGACTGCAACACTGTGACTCCGGTAACTGCTGAATACTCTGGTTTCCTGAGTTAAACATTCACTTGCGACTGAAGGATGAAATCCTGACTTGAGACCACTGTGCTTTTTAGTTCATGTCACAATCACTTCCCTTTCATCAGAGGCAACTCTTGAAGCAGCAGGAAGAAGTAACCTGCTTGTGCAATCCTCTGCTTCATCTTCCAGACCAAGTGTAGTGTCTCTTCCCTCTGTAAACCAGTAGTATGTGTTACATTAGATGTTGTCTTTTAGTACAAAAATAACCATCATATTAATACAAGTTAGAATATGGAGAAAATATAGGAAAAACTATGCTCAAAAAACGATTACCATATTTGTCTTTTTCACTCCATGCATTTGTTCTACTATGTATAGACATAGATCATGGTAATTTGTGTCTCCATTTTTCTTTTAACCCTCACCTAAGGATATATATTTTTTCTATTGATTTTTTACAGAGAATGGAAGGGAGGTGGGGGGAGAGAGAGAAACATCGATGTGAGACACATCCATTGTGCCTTCTGCATGCGCCCTAACCAGGGCTGGGGATTGAGCCTGCAACCCTATCAGCGGGTCTCAATCTGTGGGTCGCGACCCTTTCACAGGGGTCGCCTAAGACCATCGGAAAACACATATATAATTACATATTGTTTTTGTGATTAATCACTATGCTTTAATTATGTTCAACTTGTAACAATGAAATTGGGGGTCAGCACAACATGAGGAACTGTATTAAAGGGTCGCGGCATTAGGAAGGTTGAGAACCACTGCCTAGTGCAGTGATGGCGAACCTTTTGAGCTCGGCATGTCAGCGTTTTGAAAAACCCTAACTTAACTCTGGTGCCGTGTCACATATAGAAATTTTTTGATATTTGCAACCATAGTAAAACAAAGACTTATATTTTTGATATTTATTTTATATATTTAAATGCCATTTAACAAAGAAAAATCAACCAAAAAAATGAGTTCGCGTGTCACCTTTGACACGCCTGTCATAGGTTCGCCATCACTGGCCTAGTGAATGGTCTGACACTCTAATCACTGAACACACTGGCCAGAGATCATTTTTCATTTAACATTGTTCCATGTTTACATCATAGGGATCCATTTATGTAATCTCTATATCTATATATATAAGCATAAGCAACCGTCCAACCATTCGCTATGACGCACAATGACCACCAGGGGGCAGACGCTTCTACCGATAGCTATGATATGCACTGACTACCAGGGGGCAGACGCTCAATGCAGGAGCTGCCGAGCTGTGTGACTTGGCAGCTGCAGCTGTGGTTCTTGGGTGATGCACCCAGAACCAGAGAAGAGGGAGCCCGATTCCAGGGTGCGTCACCTGAGAACCGCCCTCTCACAGTCCGGGACCCCTTGGGGGATGTTGGAGAGCTGATTTTGGCCTGATCCCCGCAGGCCAGGCTAAGGGACCCCACCAGTGCAGGAGTCCATGCATCAGGCCTCTAGTTTTATTATAAGGATCCATTTAAATAGTTATTGATACACATTTGAGGATTTTTCAAATAAGTTGATAATTTCAAAGACATAATTTTATTTTATTTCTTTTATCCTCACCCAAGGATTTTTTCCCAATGGTTTCTAGAGAGAGTGGAAGGGAGGGGGAGGGGGGGGAGAGAAAGAAACATCAACATGAGATAGGCATATCAACTGTTTGCCTCCTGCATGTGCCCCTACATGCTGGGGAACCTGCAATCGAGGTATGTGCCCTTGACTAGGAATTGAACCCTTCAGTCCCCAGGCTGATGCTCTAACCACTTTGCAAAACCAGCCAGGGTGACATAATTTGCTTATATAAGTTCCAAATCTGGAGTTTTTTTTGTTTTAATTTATTGATTTGAGAAAGAAAGAAACATCAGTCAAACCTGAAACATAGATATGTGCCCCGATCAGGAACTGAACCAGCAACCTTTTTGGTGTACAGGACGGTGCTTCAACCAACTGAGCTGCCAGGCTAGGCCCAAATCTGGAATTCTAAGTAAAAGATATGAATTCGTGGTACTTGACAGATTATGAAACGGCTTTGCCAATATAGTATACCAACTTATTCAACCACCAAACGATGACAATTTATCATTTAAATCATATTATCAATGTAGTAGGGAGAAGAAAAACCTCATAAGTCTTTCAATTTGCACTTAAGAACACTGCTAGGAGAAAAGAACTTGAATCAAGACCCGTTACTAGTTAAATGTCTTCTCTTTTAGAATCATCACACATATTGAGGGAGGAAGTTTACCTGCTAGTCGGGCACCTATCTCTTCCTTGTGGAGGCAGCGTACTATAAGGCCTGTGGCCCTAGTGCTGTAACGACCAAAGACCGGCGTGGGTGGGCAGGGCTGTGAGCGTGGTGAGGTGCGTGGGGCTGCGTGATTTCGTGCGCTGGGCTTCTAGTTAAGACTAGAAAGAACAAGGCCTTTGGGATGAGAATCCACCTTCCTAAAGAACTGGACATACATGCACCAACCTTGTGAGTTGTTAGTTTCATCCATTCATTTAGCCAGTGGTTCTCAACCTTCCTAATGCCGCGGCCCTTTAACACAGTTCCTCATGTTGTGGTGACCCCCAACCATAAAATTATTTTCGTTGCTACTTCATAACTGTAATATTGCTACTGTTATGAATCGTAATGTAAATATCTGATATGCAGAATGTATTTTCAGGGCTCACGATCCCCTTTTAGACTAAAGGGAGAAACTGATCAAAAGGGAGAATTTGACCATTTAGCTATTTTTTTTTTAAAGAATTGTTTATTGATTTTTAGAGAGAGAGGAAGGGAGAGGGAGAAACATCAGTGTGAGAGTGAAAGATCAATCAGCTGCCCCCTGCACACCCTCTACCAGGGATCGTGCCTCCAACCGGGCATGTGCCTGACTGGGAAACGGGAACCTTTCTGTGCTCAGGCTGACGTCTGACCAGCTGAGCCACACCAGGGCTATTCTTATCTTTAAGAGTCACTTGCACACTGTCTTCTGCAAGTAAGGATCCATTTTGGGAGTTAGAAGAGTTCATTTTTTTCTCAAGTATCAATTTTCCTTGATTTTTAAAATAGTAAGATGCTTACACTTATTATTAAGCCCTTGCTTAACGTAAGATGTCACATATCCACTAACCTTCATGACAACCCGAGGGAGGTTAATACTCATTCTTATCAACACCTAACAGAAGAAAAAACCTGATGTGTAGGGAGACTAAACTTGTTCGAACCTTGGTAGCCTATATCGTTAAGCAGCCAACAGACTATCCCAGCCTCCTGTAGTAAGTCAGCAAAAAGTAAGCAAATCACTGCTGTTGCGCTAAGGAGAAAGACACCCTGCCAGTCACTCTCATATGAATGCGTTTGTCACTGTAGCCCAGACTGAGTGGAGGAAAGGGCAGCCGAATCTAAACCTCTAAAGCTCAAACACATTTCAGGACTGTGCACTTGCAACCCCTTTAGATGCTTCTAAACTCTGAAGCAGCTTGGCTCAACTGCTCACATTTGGGCAAGTGAGGCAGGCGTGGGCTGTGCCTTCCTGCCCGGTATTGAAGGAATTTTCATAGAGACACAGCCTATCATGAACCTCTTTCTCCACATCTTCTAGGCGGGTGCATGACCTGATTATTAAAACAAGCCATGTTGTAAAGGTGGAAATTTGTTAACTTTTCCTCATCTTTCTAACTCAAAAGTGTGTGTGTGGTGGGGGGCTGTCCAGGGGAAGGGGACACACTGACTGTGAAGTTTATTATACTGGGAACCATTTGTTAGGGAAGGTAAAACCCAGACATTTATATTTTTCAGCTTTGACTTGGGAGCCTGCTTCAGTGCGACTCTTGCGGCGTTCTGGGCACTGCCGCTGTGGAAGAGCTGCACAAGTTCCCTCTGTGACTTTGGGAGGGAGTGGGCAGAGGAAAGAGATAGGCAGGTACTCTGTGTGTACATCTCTTTTCCAAAAGCAGCGCTGAAACTGTGTGAACTGAAATAAACTTAGTTCCCGCATAGGGCAGTTGGCAGCAGACTGGATCAGAAAGCCTAGCTGCTTGTGAACAATAGATGGCACAGAGTAGGCCCAGTGGGTTTTAGTGTTGGCTGTTACCAAAGCTGATCTTACTTAATGCAATCCCTTAAGCCTGTGTCTTCAGTGGGAGAAAGTCAGCGTTGGACTGGGTTGATAAAGCTTTGGGTCTGGTTTTGAGCCCGTGTTTAGCCCTTGCTTCTGAATACAGCAGCTTCAGAACCCGTCCTGCTAATAAGTGCTGGTTAATCTGCATGGTAAACCCTTCCCTTCACTAACAAGATGCAGTGAATGACCAAAGACCAATAAGCAGGGGCTTATGTGTGGTGTAGCTCAGCAACTGGGATGGGGAAAAGACTCCTATACATCTGCTTCAGCTATCTTTCCTCCCTTCCCCTCCCCTCCCCTCCCCTCCCAACATTTCCTTTACTGTCCCCTCACTGACAGTGATCCTCGTTATTACAGAAGGGAAAGAGGCACATAGAAGTTACGGACTCGGGTCCATGGAAAATGGCAGAGTCCAAACTAGAGCCAAGCCTGCCAGCAGTCACAAGCTTCTCCCATAAACGCCACCTCCATCTGTCATGACACTCAGGCGGAGGACTGGGCTTTTCATTACGTCTTTACGGTTAACTCCTCTGGATGCTTTCAGAGAGGTTGTTTCAAAATTCCTCTCTTGCTAGCCTTTAAGTAAAGATGAGGAAAGGAGAAAAATTAAAATAAAATAAGCCACATACACAAAGCTCAAAGCACATAAGCCAAATGATTTAATTTAATATTAGCAAGGGTCAAATGGTATCTTAATAATGAAAATAAAGACAATAATGTCTTCCTCAAATAAAACATTTGGAGGAAGAAACATTTCTAAAAAAAAAAAGGAAAAAAAAGTTTATTTGGAAAAGCCAGCCTCTTACACAAGGCTTTTATCTATACTTTCACTCTGTCAATTACAACAATATTTTAAAATACATTTAATACAATATATAAGTCACTGAATGTCATTGTTCTACCTCAATTTAAAAGATATTAGTTTAAAAAATATTTCATTTTCATTCTGGTCCGTCTTCCCTTCTATCCTTACACTAAATCCATTTCTTTACTTTTCAAATAAGTGAAATGAGTCACAAAATTTTTAGGTTTATGTGGTGAAAATGTGTCTTACGAATGTGTCCAATAATTCTAACGAAAACATAATTTTAAGAAACTTCTCAGAAAAAAAGGAGTTATTTATTGAACTAAAAACACTCAGCAACTTCCCTTCCAATCTTATCCTCATATGTTTGCTTGGGGCCAAATCTCTTTGGCTCTTTTAAACCAGCAAACATGAAAAAAAGAAAAAGAAAACCAACAACAAAAACAATGAAGCACACAAAGAACCAGAATCTCACACACAGCTCTAAGCTAGACGTAGATATGAGTGGAGCCACTATGAATCAAAGGGGAAAATTCCAGGAAAAACAGTAACAAAAAGATTCTAAGTCTCATGGTTTAACTGAGTTTTAGAAAAACCTAAGCTGAGTTCAGCTGCTGTTTGAAATATCTGTCTACATTTAATTAGAGATGTTGGATTTACTAAGGGGGCACAAACATATAGTTTTGCATATTTTAATACTAACTTTTACAGTGGAAAAAAAATACTAAGTGATCTCAAAAGGGACAGTGATCTATAAGCACTCAAAATATGTCTTTGAAAGGGGTGCAGAAATAGTTATTTAATAAAATCAAGAACTTCTAATAAACATCCTAAGGAGAGAAACCAGATGGGGTGTTGATGAATACAATGTGTCTAGAAAGACAAGATATTTCCAAAATTTTATGCCTTAAGTTTCCTATATATATATATATAGCAGGCAGGTACACATGCCAGGCAAATATTAATGCTAGGAAAATATTTCAGCTAGGATTCTAGAAAACCCCCAACTTTCAGCCAAGATTTCTATTCAGTCCTTCAGTGATAATGTATGACAATATGTTACAAATAACACTGAAGCAAGATTAGTTTTAAATTTTAGATTTGCTTCGATCAAGTTATTTTTCTTTGTAATGGAACACTTAAAATAGATGAATTCAGCAGCGTGGTTTGAAAAGTTAAGGATCCTTGAAGATTCTAAAGACTAAAACTTAAGGCACATATTATAATCTTCATGACACTGTTAAAAGCTAAGATTAAAAAAAAAATTACCCGACTTCTCCCTTCATTCTTTCCCAACCACTCCCTCCCCAAAGGATATGGCATGTTAAATTTGGACTAATGGTAAGGAGTGAAACAAAAATTCCATCAAGGAACACCTGGTAGGATTTCCACACGAATGTCCACTATTTGCATTGAGCACCACTGGGAGATTACGGCCAGTAGAACATTTCAGATATCTTGGGTCACAAGCTGCTCCATTTACCCTTCAGCCCCACAGGCTCAGACTGGACTCTCCTCCTCTTTGGGGCTTCCTTCGGTGCCTTTCTGCTCTGGTGATTCCGCTGTGTTGGTAATTGTTTTTGGCGTCTCAACCTGTACACCGGCCTCTTCCTCTTTACTCTCATTTTCCTGCTCCCTCAATTTTTCTCTTTCAGTCATTCGATAATTGATGCCCATGCCAATGAAGAGATAGATGCCTGCGAAAATGAGAACTATGCCACAGGCCCAGTACGTATATTTGTAGTCTCCGTAAATGTCATGGAGACGACCTAAAGGTGTCAAAAAAGAAAAAAAACACACTGAAAACACCAACCAGTAAACAGTTATGTGGATAAAAGTAATATCCTTTTCTAAATAAAACTCAAGGACCTACTCAGAAAGATGTCAACCCAATTCTCAAATAGCCCACAGGTGACAAATTAGTTTAAAAAGAAACTGCTAAAAGTGGTCTGACCTTTTGTTTATGATGTCATGCTTGATTTTGGCTGGCCTTGCATACTGTCATTTTTAACAACTTGAAAATAATTAAATCTTGGCATATTTGAATTGGGAAAGAACTAGAGATCACCTAGAATCAGTTTTCTTAATACATATTGGGGGAAAAAATTGTTGCAATGGAAGTTTAAGAGCCCTGGCCAGGTAGCTCAGTTGGTTTGAGTGTTGTACCAATACGCCAAGGTTGCAGGTTTGATCCCTGGTCAGGGCACATACAAGAGTCAACCAATGAACGCACAAATAAGTGGGACAACAAATTGATGTCTCTCACTCTCTAAAATCAATAAATAAACCTAAAAAAAAGAGAAAGTTTAGGAATCTTGCCCAAGGTCACAGAGCTAATTTCAGTCTCCCAGGCAGACTCCTGCTCTTTCTCTGACATCAGCACTTCCCAAAAAGCATTCCTATGAAGACTTGTCCTAAAAAAAATGACCAAACGTTAATAATACCTTTGCATCATTCTCAGTGCTTATTCCTCGCAGCAGGCAGATTCTACCATCATTCTCATTGTATAATGTAAAAACTGAAGCACAGAAAACTTAAGTAACTTGTCCGAGGTCACAGAGTTAGTTAACGGTTAGCTTTAAACCCAGGACATGTGACTGAAGCTGCAACGATAACCTCTGTGCTGCAGGATACCTCCTGGTGTTTCCAAAGCCAAATAGTTTTGGGAAATGGCATATCTTATTCTTTCTTATTAAAGCTGCACAATGCAAGTTAGCATGTCAAAGGCTCTGCAAGGTCCTGCAGTAAAGAAATCTAACTTGGTGTTTCCAAACTTTTTTTTTGGCCATGAAATCCTTGTTATAGTAAAATTCATTAGCATCTCATCTAATTGGCATCTCAAGGAATAAACTCTGGAAAACCCTACTCCACACCTATGAAGGACTTCATGTAACCAATTCAAATATAGGATTCCATATGGCAGGGGTGGGTAACGTCCAGCTGCAAGCGGGCCGTATAAGGCTGGTGAAATCATTAGGTCTGGCCCTGCCATTAGGGGTGAGTTAGTTAAATGTTTGACTAAATATAGCAGGCTAATTTTTAAGTTGGTAATTTTGTATGGCCCACAAATGATGCCATAAATATCCCAATGGGTCTTGGCAGAAAGAATGTTCCCCACCCCTGCTACATGGTTTCCTAACTCAGGGCATTATTCACTCAGAGTATTTACTGAGCCTTTCCATACACCAGCCACTGGGTCTCTTAGGCCCCGAGGAGAAAGGTGGGCAAAGGAAATAATATCTACAGTTTAGTGGAGGAGAGAGATGTTAAGTAATCATATAAACTGTGACCAGTGCTACTAGGAGGGTTGAAAGCAGAAAACAGGGGGTAGGACCAGTAGGTAGGGTCAGGAAGGCTTCTCCTAAAGAGTAACTAGTAAGCCCAGACTGACAGGAGGAAGGGGTTATCTGGCAGAGAGGGGGTGGGGTAGGGATCCAGGCAGAGAACAGTGAGTGCAAAAGCAGTGGTGGGAGAAAGTACAGGGGACAAGAGGGGAAGGGAGAAGGGCCAGGCTGCTGGAGGAGAGCACAGGCCAGTAGGTAGGAAATGAGGCTGAAGAGAAAGGTGGGCGGGCCCATATGAGGGGCCCTGTGGGCCACATAAGGGAATTTGATCTTCACCCTAAGAAGATGAGAAGCAACTGCAGAGTTCCAATTAGGTGAAATATCAGATTTGCATTTGTCTGTCGAGTAGAAAACAGATTGAAGGCTGGCTAGAGTGGAGATAGGTAGACCAGTTAGGAGGCTACTGGAGCAGCTCAGGTAGGAACTATGGATAAGAGATATATAGATACGGAGAAAGTGTATAGATTAGAAATTTAGGAAGTGAAAACTGACAAGATTGGTCAACTGATTGGGTATCGTGGAAGGAAGTAGGAGTTACATCTTTTCAGAAAGAGCCAAAATTTTTTTTACTATGTGTTATGTATTGATTTAAAAGATGAAACATTTAATAACTTTAGGAAATAGTTTCCCAATTACATACTCAATTACTAGCTGTGTAATACAGGCAAATTGTTTCACTTTTAAAAGCCTCTTTCTTCACTGACAAAGTGGGAACTCTAACAGTCCCTACCTCATAGACTGGAGAGATATAAGATATAGGACAGTGCACTGTGAGCTTACATGGTAGCTATTATTATTATTATTACTACTACTATTACTACTACTACTACTATTACTTTAATTATTACTACTAAAATAAACTCCATTATTAAAATGAAATCACCACCAGTGCTTTAGAGGTGGCGTTGTATTTTACATGTTTTCTTACAATAAGCATGGAAGCTTTACAAAGAGAAAACATTTTAAGAAACAGCATCATTTTAAAAATGTTTTACTCCCCTTTCAGCTTGATGGTTCATTTTAACTCAAGTCTGTATTTGAGCAATGATGCTACTTGAAGAATTGTGCCAGTACCGAGGACACAGAAATGAGAAAGACCTGCTCTCCCCCAGCAAAAGGCTCAGTGATCTCTGCTTTCTAACCCCTTCTCAATCTTCGTGCCTGTTTTATATTAACAGAACCGTGGAGATAGGGAGACATACTATACCTAGAAGTGGTGGCCCTAGGAGGACGGGACAGCATTCCACAATGGTCACCAATCCCACAGCACTGGAGAACTTCTGGGGTCCAACGAGGTCCATCAGTGTTTCAAACAATACTGAGCTGAGCCACCCAAATGCAAACCCAAATACTCCAGCATAAATACAGAGCCCAATATAGCTGTTAGTCAAAGGTGCTACCATGTGACACAGTCCATTTGCAACAACAGAAGCAGCAAAAAAAAATTGAACTCGAGGTCTTATCCACCTTGTGTTGGCTAAAAGTCCCATAGATGGTCTGGCAAACATGTCAACAAAAGCCAAAATGGAAAGAAGGAAGGCAGACTTCTCACTAGAGTAATGCTGACTCTTGCCATAATTACTAAGAAAGACCAAAGGAGCAAACAGTCCGAAAAACATGATCACATTTCCGGAGAGGTATATCAAGAAGCCTCTGTGAGTGAACAAGGAAAAGTCCAGGAATTGATTAATTGTTTGCAATACTGACTTTTTCTCCTTTTTGGGGTTTTCTCCAATGAGATCTGTATTTGCATCACCTGCCACTTTTGAACCAGACTTTCCAGCTTCCTCAATGGTTTCTGAAGGCTGATATTTCTCTGCACTGGCTGGGGGGGGCCCTATTGGTCGCATCAGGGATCCAGCCACACAGCAGTTTAGTAGTAAGCCTCCAAGAATTAGGAAACTTCCTCTCCAGCCAAAGATACCGAAGAAAGCCTGATTGAGGGGGGCCAGGGTAGAAAGGAACACAGGACTGCCTGCCATGGCCAGTCCATTTGCCAATGGCCGCTTCTTGTAGAAATACTTGCCAATCATGGTCAGAGCTGGATTCAAATTGAAGGCAAGCCCAAGACCTAAGAAAGAGGGGAAAAAGAATCACATACTGTAACAAATGTCAGAGAGATATTTGGAATTACTTAACCAGACAAATAAAATAAACATATAAGTAATGAAGGAGACAAAGATCCTCGTTATTGGAGGACATTCTGTATTGTGGTTTAAAGTATGAGCTCTAAAACCAGACTATGCGCTTTCAAACCTCAGCATCATTACTTACTGTCTGTGTAAGAGAGAGAGAGATATTGACGTGAGAAAGACACATTGACTGATTGCCTCCCACATGCACCCCTACCGGGGCTGGAGAACTTGCAACCAAGGTACCTGCCCTTGACTGGGAATCAAACCCTTCACCCTTTGGTCTGAGGGGCTGATGCCCTACCTACTTAACAAACCAGCCAGGGCTCATGCATTATTCTTAAGTCAAAAGTGGTCAATACAAGAGTGGTCAATTGCCAGGGTCCAACCCCAGCAGGTCCAGGGGTTCCCAAAGGCATAGACGGAGTCGGCGAAGAAGGAAGGACACGGAGACAGTGTTCAGTTGATCAGCAGCCTAGCCAGGATCTCCAGCCAAGTTCTGGTCTGGATCTCCAGAGAGGTTCTGGTTAGGATCTCCAGCCAGGTTCTGTGTCCATGTTCTCTTGCTAGGTTCTCCAGCCAGGTTCTGTAGCCATGTTCCCTCGCTAGGTTCTCCAGCCAGGTTCTGTCCAGGTTCTCCAGCCAGGTTCAGTCACCAGGTTCTAGTCAGGTTCTCTTGCCAATTTCTATAGTCAGGTTCAGTCCAGGATCTTTTGCCATGTTCTCTCCAGCGAAGTTCTTCTGTCTCTAGGTTCTGTGTAGGTTCTGTCTTCTTGGTTCTGTCTTCTAAGTTCTGTCTTCTTACATCTGTATTTATACCAGTTGATTCCAATCCTATCAATCTCTATTCCAAAGGTTAGGGTGTTTCTTATCTCCATTCCAGGGAGTAAAGATTATGTAGCTTAAGCATGATTGTTCATAGTTAAAGTGATTAAATACCCGCCTGGCACTTAGTTAAGAGGTTTTATTCCCTCCCTAACTTCAGGGGAAAATCCCTACCTTGGGAAACAACCTTTCTCAGAGACCTTGGTTAAAACACATAGTGCCAAGAAGGTGAGCAAACCTATTAAGAACAGTATGCCATATATGCCAGGTCCCTTGAAACAGCAAGCATGGACCGGCTCCCGGCAGTCAATAAGCATTTTCTTTAAAACAAAAACAAAACACAAAGATATAAAAATACTTTTCTAATAAAGAGATGAAAATTAAAGACACATTTACTACTACGGACTATTCTTAGGACAAGGGATGCAATAATCTCAACTCATGTATTCATTCAACAGTGAACACCTGTTATCACAGGAATTTGAAAATGAATCAACAGCAACTCACCTCCAATGACTCCAATACAAAAGTAAAGCCCCTGTACACTGTTAGAGAAGGAAGCTGCAATCAGGCCACTGCCTGACAAGCAGCCACCAACAATCATGACTGGACGACTGCCATATTTATTCACGAGGATACTGCTGACAGGACCTAAGAAAGGACCAAACATTTAGTGGCACAGAAGAAAGGGTCGCGTAAGACCATTGGAAAACACATAATTACATATTGTTTTTGTGACTAATCACTATGCTTTAATTATGTTCAATTTGTAACAATGAAAATACATCCTGCATATCAGATATTTACATTTCGATTCATCACTAGCAAAATTACAGTTATGAAGTAGCAACGAAAATAATTTTATGGTTGGGGGTCATCACAACATGAGGAACTGTATTAAAGGGTCACGGCATTAGGAAGGTTGAGAACCACTGCATTAATGACACTAAGTGACAAGTCCTCCAAAATAAACATACAACAAAAGGTAATGGTAAGAATATTGCTTTCTTTTGTATCTGGATATTCTGGATGGAATTTTACTAAAATATAAACGACTAGATCCTTAATCTTTCTCTTATAAGGCAGAACAGGCTGGAAATACCTTGGTAATGGATGCTCATAAGCTTCTTGATGTATCTAGGATACGACCAACATATATTTTGTAAGTTTACTTTGTTTTAAATTTTGGACAGACACATGGATATGATGATATGATTTCAGAGCATTATTTACATATGATAAACTAGAGGCCCGGTGCACAAAATTTGTGCACTTGGCGGGGGGGGGGGGGGAGAGGGGATGTCCCTCAGCCTGGCCTGTGCCCTCTTGCAGTGTGGGACCACTCGGGGAATGACCACCAGCTTAGGCCCGCTCCCTGGGGAATTGGACCTAAGCTGGCAGTCAGACATTCCTCTGGCAGCCCAGGAGCCCTCGGGGGAGGGCTTGCCAGTGGGGAGCAGGCCTAAGCTGCAGTTGGACATCCTTAGCGCTGCTGAGGAGGCGGGAAAGGCTCCCACTACCACCGCTGTACTGGCAGCAGTCAGCCTGGCTTGCTCCTGTGGGAGCGCATTGAGCATCTGCCCCCTGGTGGTCAGTGTGTGTCATAGTTGACCAGTCATTCCCAATCGTTCTGCTGTTAGTATCCATTTGCATATTATCCTTTTATTATATAGGAGTGCCTGGCCAGCCCGGGTGAGGAGCTGATGGCTGTTTGCAGGCTGGCCACGGCCCCCAGCCACCCAAGCTCCCAGTGGAGGCTGGCAGGAAGCAGGTATCTGGGATTTATTTAGCTTCTATAATTGAAACTTTGTTGCCTTTTGCAGAGGCCACAGCCAGCCAGAGCAGACGGGAAGCTTAGCTTCCTCCAGCTCCATGGCCGCTGGCCACCATCTTGTTTGGGTTAATTTGCATATAGTCGCTCTGATTGGCTGGTGGGCATGGCTTGGGGGCATAGCAAAGGTACAGTCAATTAGCATCTTTGTCTTTTATTAGTGTAGATGTGGTTTATATTTTTTAAAAAGAAAAAAACAGCCCTAACCAGTTTGGCTCAGTGGATTGAGCGTCGGCCTGAAGACTGAAAGGTCTCAGGTTCGATTCCAGTCAAGGGCATGTACCTTGGTTGCGGGCACATCCCCAGTGGGGGGTGTGCAAGAGGCAGCTGATTGATGTTTCTCTCTCATCAATGTTTCTAACTCTCTATCCTTCTCCCTTCCTCTCTGTAAAAAATCAATAAAATATATTAAAAAAAAAGAAAAAAGAAAAAAAACAAAGTACATAATTATTTTTTTCAAGTTTAAAGTTTTGTAATTAGGACAGCTAAATGTAAAACAGAACTGTTCCCAATGACGTCTAGATGTCTCAGGTATTGAACTGATTATGACTTTTAGAGAGTTAACCTGGTTCCTTGCCTATATTATTGTTTTGTGTTGTTAGCCAATACTGTGAGTAAAAAAGCTTGTAGGAGAAAATTAACTCAGATAATGGTCAAAATATCCTTTGGTGTAATGCCTCAAGAAGATAGGAAATGGACTGTTATCTAAGAAAACCAGATTAAATTTCTTCAGCTGAATAGATACATACCAAAAAAAAAAAAAATCAGGGTTTTTTTTTTTAATGTGAGTGAAGGAACCAAATAAAAAGTGAAGTATTAAGGATCAAGAAAAAAAAGATTTTATGCATTTTATGTATCAGTTTTTTAATACAAAAATCAAATGGCCTCTTCTTATTTGCTACACATAGGTATAATCTGTAATTCATTTCCAAATTTGTCTTAATTATAAGGAAGTCTTATCCAAAGCAAACAATGGTTTGAAAGCTATAACACAACTCACATACACTAACAGTATTTTCTGATTACACACTGAGTGACACTCATTGAATTTCATTTATTTATATTTATAAGAATACTTATGTCTCTACTTTATGGACATGAACTTGTGGAAATGACAGCTTTGTTTACATAACACCATAACCTGTCTGGCTGGTGAAGGTAGATGACTGTAAGTAGGAAAGAGTCACTGCAATGCAGCTGTAGGGAAGGGGATAATGGAACATGCAAGTCACAAAGTTGGTGTGTCCCAAGTTTCAAATCCGGCTCATTTTCTTCCCATTACAGGATTCTATATTTATGAAGCAGAAGACATACAAATCATATTTCTATTCTATCCGCACAGTAAATTATGACCTTATTCCGTTTACTGTATAGTTGTCTCCCTAGAACAGCCGTGGGCAAACAACGGCCCGTTTGAAATGAATAAAACTACTGAAAAAAAAGACCGTACCCTTTTATGTAATGATGTTTACTTTGAATTTATATTAGTTCACACAAACACTCCATCCATGCTTTTGTTCCGGCCCTCTGGTCCAGTTTAAGAACCCATTGTGGCCCTCGAGTCAAAAAGTTTGCCCACCCCTGCCCTAGAAGATAGTAAGTCTATTTTTAAAAACATACTGTATATATAATGTATATATTCAGAAAATACTATTGATCATATGTTAACATATTTTATTTCCATAAATACTATGGAAGATTCTGCAGTTACTTTATTCTAGTAGTACTATTCTTAATCGCAGCATGGTGTTATAAGATTAAAAAAACAGGCCTTTTGGCTAAGATCAAGAGTAGTATGTTCCTATAAGTTTAATATCTGATATGTCCTCCATCTGAGGACCTTATAGTAAATGTATTTTTGGAGCAGGAGATGGAATAGGAGCTTGCTCCGTTCACTCCACGCATTGACCTGGTATTGCAGTACCTCGGGAATGGTGCAAAAACAGAACAGGCTCTGGCTGCAGGGAACCCAAATTCAAATTATGCTAAGTATGTATGTACATACCTACATACATATGAATACATGTATATATACACATAGTAAACATGCATGAAGAAATAAAAGCTTTTAATATCCCAGTGTTTCAGAGGATCAAGTCTCTCTAAGGTGTTGGGTCGGTAACTGACTGCTAGGACAGACTTCAGGCTCAACCAAGAATCCTATATAATAAAGAGGTAGTATGCAAATTGACCATCACTCCAACACACAAGGTGGCCGCCCCCATGTGGACACAAGATGGCCAGCAGGGGAGGGCAGTTGTGGGTGATCAAGCCAGCAGGGGAGGACAGTTGAGGGGGTCCCAGACCTACAGGGGAGTGCAGCTGGGGGGGACCAGGCCTGCAAGGGAGGGCAGTTAGGGGTGACTGGGCCAGCAAGCGTTACCAGGCCAGCAGGGGAGGGCAATTAGTGGCAATCGGGCCGGCAGGGGACAGTTAGGCATCGAACAGGCTGGCAGGGGAGTGGTTAGGGGCAATCAGGCAGGCAGGCAGGCGAGCGGTTGGGAGCCAGCAGTCCTGGATTGTGAGAGGGATGTCCAACTGCTCGGTGGGAGGGGCCTAAACGGCAGTCAGACATCCCTCGAGGGGTCCCAGATTGGAGAGGGTGCAGGCTGGGCTGAGGGATACCCCCCGCCGTGCATGAATTTTGTGCACTGGGCCTCTAGTATGTATATAAAGAAGTTTTCATTGCCCTAGCTGGTTTGACTCAGTGGCTAAAGTGGCGGCCTGGGACTGAAGAGTCCCAGGTTTGAGTCCCATCAAGGAAATGTACCATGGGTTGCAGGCTTGATCCCTGGCTCCAGTTGGGACTGGAGGGAACCAATCGATGTGTCTCTCACAAATCGATGTTTCTCTCTCTCTGCCTCTCCCCTCCCTTCCATTCTCTCTAAAATTCAATGGAAAAATATCCTTGGATGCGGATTAACAAAACAAAACAAAAATTTTCATTGACCTAGGTCACTTCATGCAAATATTAGGCCACAGCTGGTTTGGAAATAATTTTTACTTACAGCTTGTGTAAGATGAAAGAATAAAATATTGCCACGCTGTTGACTCTGAGAAGTATAAGTTAATGCTGTAAAGTTTCCAGTATTTTATTTTTAAAAAAACATATTTTTATTGATTTCAGAGAGGAAGGGAGAGGGGGAGAGACTCAGAAATATCAATGATGAGAGTATCATTGATTGGCTGCCTCCTGCATGCTCCCACACTGGGGATTGAGCCTGCAACCTGGGCATGTGCCCTTGACCATAATTGAACCTGGGACCCTTCAGTCCGCAGGCCAACGCTCTATCCACTGAGCCAAACCGGCCAAGGCAGTTTCCAGTATTTTAGATGGGAAATGTTAAGATGACATCACGGTAAAACTGAAAACATGTAAATTTACATTTTTCATTTTAGAAAAAAAAAGGAACAATTCAAGGAAATAAATAAAACAACAGTAGGCAACTGAGATCTCCTCTCCTATAAAACATACTCTAACAAGCATCAGGATGTATCTATGAACCAAAGCATTAAAGAAAAAGAAGAAAAGCAAACTAAATCACTCACAGCTCAAAACATATTAGGGTGGGTGTGGCCCAAATGCACAAATTAAAGGATTATGGCCCTTGTAAAAGTTATGATAATTATTAGGGACATACTACTTAGGAGCCCATCTAAACAAAAAAACCCCATTTAGTAAAAATTCTGCCACAAGACTCATGATAGGCAATTTGTCTTTTGAGTTATTTCAAGAAGGATGGCCCCAATTAGCTATAATTAGAAAAAGAGAGGGGTACAGTTCATAGTCCTATTATAACAAAATTCAGGGAAATGTGCTAGTTATCTCTGGGTGAGGACAAAGAAGGAACTGTTTTCCCAAAAGAAAGTGTCATGTACAATGAGTAGAACTGACATCACTTACTTTTGATGCAAAATGCAAGTGGTTTTCAAGCTCTTTGGCAGCTCGGAATTGCAACAGCAAACCTCTGGTTTGTAGTCAGCTTAAAGATACACAAAGCAACGGGAGTACCTCTGGAGAATATTTATACGAATTTTTCAAGCCATCATAATCAAAACCTGATTAGAAATCCTGGCAGATGGAGTTCAAGGCCTCCAAAATTATTTGCCCTCAGAAAAGTAGACAATGTCCAAGGTTCCTTTTCATTTCTCTAAACTTATATTTTCAAAAAGTACTATAATTGCCTGGTCGGTATGGCTCAGTCGTTGAGCACTGACCTATGAACCAGGAGGTCACGGTTCAATTCCCAGAGTGGACACATGCCTGGGTTGCGGCTTAATCCCCAGGGGGCAGTGGATCAATGATTCTCTCTCATTATTAATGTTTCTATCTCTCTTCTTCTCCCTTCCTCTCTGAAATCAATAAAAACATATTACAAAAAAAAGTACTTTAATAGACAAAACAGGCTTATGTTCAAAATTCAAAAGATTCAAAAGATATACAGCAGAAAAAAATGTATTCCCAGACCTGTTTCCTGTCACCCAATTTATCTTTCTCTAAGGCAATCAGGTTACCTGTTGTATCTGTGCAATGAAATTAGGCACTTAATCCAATTATGACTCCAACTTATTTCTGTTTCGTGAGTTTATGTTATTGTCTCAACAGGATTATAAACAGGATCACAACACCTAACCTAGTGTGTAATAGGTAATAATCAACCTACTATATATAATGTGAAATACCAAGCATAGTGCTTAATAAAAATGGGATAAAGTTGACACCAGGTTAGAAGCGTAAGGCTCAGGTTTAACAGTTAAAATGTAGAATATTCATATTGGATATTAAAGAGCTACAGATTTAGCCGAAACTGGTTTGGCTCAGTGGATAGAGCGTCAGCCTGTGGACTGAAAGGTCCCGGGTTCGATTCCGGTCAAGGGCATGTACCTGGGTTGCGGGCACTTCCCCAGTGGGGGATGTGCAGGAGGCAGCTGGTCGATGTTTCGCTCTCATCGATGTTTCTGACTATCTCTCTCCCTTCCTCTCTGTAAAAGTCAATAAAATATATTAAAAAAAAAAAAAAAAAAAAGAGCTACAGATTCAAATGATAAAAAGAGAGAACCAAAATGGTGGCATAGGTAAACACTGGTACTCGCAGCCTCCCACAACCACATAAAAAAATACAACTGAAATACACAATGGGCATCATTCAAAATCGCCTGAAATCTGGCTGAGTAAAAGCCCTATAACTAGAGAAGTAAAGAAGGCCTGGGGTGGGGCAGGAACCGGGTAGAGGGGGAAATGAAGAGAAGGGGAACATCTGTAATCCTATCTAATAAAAGAGAAACATGGTAATTAGCGTACATCCGCTACCCTTCCCAGTGGCTAATCAGCAAGATATGCAAATTAACTGCCAGCCAAGATGGCGGCCTGCATCCAGGCAGCTTGAAGCTAACATGAGGCTTGCTTGCTTCAGTGACGGAGGACTCCAACGTTCCCCACCTGCCTTGCTGGCCTCTGAGCTTGCAGTTTGAAACATTGTTACAAATATAGAAGCTAAACAAAACCCCAGAAACCTGCTTTCAGCCCGCCGGGATCTCAGAGCTGGAGTTGATACAGTGTTTCGATTATAGAACCCAAACAAACCAGATACCTGCTTTCAGCAGCAGAGGCCTCAGAGCTGGAGCCAGAGCTAAAGCTGGCCCAGAATTAAAAAAAAAAAAGAAAAAAAGGGGCTGTTGGGAGCTTCAGTCACACGCCAGCCTGAAAACAACCCTCAGCCCCTCACCCAGACTGGCCAGGCACCCCAGTGGGGACCCCCACCCTGATCCAGGACACCCTTCAGGGCAAACCAGCCGGCCCCCACCCGTGCACTAGGCCTCTATCCTATATAGTAAAAAGGTAATATGCCTCCCAGCACCGGGAACAGCGGAGCCGCGAGGCCTCCCAGCACTGGGATCAGTGGAGCTGAGAGGCCTGCCGGCACCGGGATCAGTGTGACAGGGGGCAGCGCCCAAACCCCCTGATCACCCTGCAACTCTGTGTGTGACAGGGGGCGGGGCCAAAACCTCCCTATCTGCCCTGCTCTGTTCGTGACAGGGGAAGGTGCCCCAACCCCCTGATCAGCCCTGCTCTGTGCCTGATAGGGGGGAGCTCCCCAACCCCCTGATCACCCTGCGGCTGTGTGTGTGACAGGGTGCGGGCCCTGCTCTGTGTGTGACGGGGTAGAGCCATAACCTCCCCATTGGTCCTGCCCTGAGTGTGAGAGTGGCGGCACCCCAACCCCGATTGACCCTGCTCTGTGGGTGATAGAGGGCGGCGCCCCAACCTCCCTTCCACGGGCCCTGCTCTGTGTGTGATGGGGTAGACCCATAACCTCCCCATCGGCCCTGCCCTGAGTGTGACAGTGGCGGCGCCCCAACCCCCTGATTGGCCCTGCTCTGTGCGTGACAAGGGGCAACACCCCAACCCCCTGATTGGCCCTGCTCTGTGCATGACAGGGGGTGGCGCAGCAACCTCCCCATCGACCCTGCCTTGAGTGTGACAGGGGGCAGTGCCCCAACCCCCCAATCGGCCCTACCCTGAGCGTGAATGAGGGTGGCATCGCAACCTCCCGATCTGCCCTGCTCTGTGCATGACAGGGGGCAGCGCCCCAACTCCCCAATTGGCCCTGCTCTGAGCCCGACCAGGGGCTGCACCTAGGGATTGGGCCTGCCCTCTCCCACCCAGGAGCAGGCCTAAGCCAGCAGGTCGTTATCTCTCGAGGGGTCCCAGACTGCGAGAGGGCACAGGCCGGGCTGAGGGACCCCCCCTCCCCACCGAGTGCACAAATTTTTGTGCACAGGGCCTCTAGTCTTATATAATAAAAGGCTAATATGCAAATTGACTGAACGGCAGAACAACCAGTCACTATGACGTGCACTGACCTCCAGGGGGCAGATGGTCAATGGAGGAGCTGCCCCCTGGTGGTCAGTGTGCTCCCACAGGGGGAGTGCCTCTCAACTAGAAGCCAGGCTCATGGCTGGCGAGTGCAGCAGTGGTGGCGGGAGCCTCTCTCGCCTCTGCAGCAGCACTAAAGATATTTGCCTGCCGCTTATGCCTGTGGGCCTAAGCCAGTGATGACGAACCTTTTGAGCTCGGCATGTCAGCGTTTTGAAAAACCCTAACTTAACTCTGGTGCCGTGTCACATATACAAATTTTTTGATATTTGCAACCATAGTAAAACAAAGACTTATATTGTTTATATTTATTTTATATATTTAAATGCCATTTAACAAAGAAAAATCAACCAAAAAAATGAGTTCATGTATCAGAGGTTTGCCATCACTGGCCTAAACCCTCAGTCGGGCATCCCCCGAGGGGGTGCAGGCTGGGCTGAGGTAACCCCCACCCCAGGGCACGAATTTCATGCACCAGGCCTCTAGTACTCTCAATAATAAAGATTAAAAAAAAAAAAAAAGAGCTACATATGAAAATAATCTGAGGTACTAAACAGTCACCGAAAATAAGATTATCAAAAGTAAAAGCTTGCCTAAATTAGCAACTTGAGACACTGTCAATCCCAATAAATAAGTACATTTGGCTTTAGAATCTCTGCTTACTAAGTACCTATATATTTTCAGTACTATGGTAGGTTTTGACTTGTACATGTTAAATTGTGATTTGGTGTTCCAAAGTGAAACAAACAATATTTTAAATGATGTTATTAAGTAAGCAGTAACTTACTCTTCACATTTCCTTCACATGTCAAAGACAGAAAGGGAGGGGGTGACAAAACTTAAGCTTAAGGTGCAGCTGAACTGCTTTCAGGACTATATTATCACAAGGAACCAGAGGGAGATTTTATTCATTTCTTTAATTCTAACACCATGAAAAGTGTTTTTTCTGAGACTCTGAATTAGCTATTCAAGTTAACTCGATTTATTTTAATTCTTCTGACATCAATTAAAAAAAAATCTTTGTTTATATTTTAAGAGTCTAGAGGAGAACAATAAAAAAAATCAGTTGTGCACGTGTCATTTTTCTGAGAGCTTTTTAAAGCTCAATGATACTGCGTAGGAGCAAATCACAATTTCTCTTTTGTTTCAGACTACTATGGAACTAACAGCAAAAGTTGTCATTGCTAATAGGAATGAAAATGTGACTCTAAACATAAAGCTTCAAGCAATGACATTTCAAAACACCTCACTGAATGAGACATAAAAAAGTGACCTAATACAGAGCCTCTGTCTGCTTTATGAATATTAAAACAGCAGGCCTTTGTGGGTACTTACCTCCACCATACATGACAGCCAGCATGATGGAGGATATCCATGACACTTCACTGCTGGTGGCATGGAATATTTCTTCAATTTCTTTGAAGAACACAGTAATAGACTTGGGAAATGCATAAGAGTAGCCGATGGAAATGAAAGCTCCAAATACCACTGCCCACCCCCAGCCTCCATCTGGGGGGGTGTATCCAACTGGACCGCCAACTGCTGGTGGCATTTTAAGGGTAGATGAATTCCAAAATGCAGTTCAAATCCAAGTATCTGAAGGATATAAAATTAAAACAGTATGTCAGCTATGTCAGCAATAAAGCACTCCCACCCACCACTGCCAACAACAAACACTTCCACCCTTTACACCAACCTTTCAAATAACGGAATTGTTTTTCAATGTTACTTGTCCAATGGACATTATCTTCTCAGGACATTATCACAAAAAGTCTTAGTGCCATGGTATTACAGGCCTGTGTGAGCTTATGCTTGGCGGGGCAATGTCTGTGGGAAACCTCTGTTCTTCCAAAGATATATTATGTTTGATCTTGCTAGCAAAGATTTCCCATAGGCAAAGTCCTGCCAAATATAAACTGACAATCTAAAATTTCAAAACACATCAAGAACCAATTAACTGTAAGTGAAGCTAAGCCAATCAACATAGCTGGATTAGATACTCAAGCACTACAGATCTTGGATATGGATATTTAAATGGCTAAAAGCAGTAAGGCATTAAAAGCACTTTAAACATTAATTAGACTAATTGATTTGAAACAGAACTTCTAGAAATGAAAAGTATACTCAATGAAATTAATAATAGGTTAACTAGCATACTGAACACAGCTGGAAAGAGACAGTAAACCTGCAGGATAGATCTGAAAAAGTCAGAATTCAGCGGAGAGCTTTATTCTGAAGCTATGAGAGAAAGGTTTAGAAACATGGAGTTTAGAATGGGAGGATCAAGCATACATCTAATGGGACTTTGGAAAAAGATAAGAGTGGGAAAGAGACAACTTTCAACGGTTAATAGCTAAGGATATAGACTTGATGAATAATATGAACCTACATATGATGAAACCCAACAAGATAGAGGAAAATCTTTAAAAAAAACTATTAAGAAAATACAGATTGGTCGAGATGGCCCCGGTGAGGTCGGAACGGCCCCGGTGAGGTCGGGACGACTCCGGTGAGGTCGAGACAGCCCCGGTGAGGCCGAAACGGCCTCAGTGAAGTCAGAATGGCCCCGGTGAGGTCGAGACAGCCCCAGTGAGGCCGAAACGGCCCCGGTGAGGTCGGGACGGCCCCAGTGAGGTCGGGACGGCTCCAGTGAGGTTGGGACAGATAATGGGGACCAGTATAGACTGATGAACAGGGGTAGATACAGAGGCAGAGCAGCATTGAACAGACTGTCAAACAAAAGTGGGAAGCCTGGGGAGGGCGGGTTAAGAGATCAACCGAAGGACTTACATGCATGCATATAAGAATAACCAATGGACACAAGACACTAGGGGGTAGGGGAGGCCGGGGGAATGTCAAGAGAGCAGGGGAAGGAGACATATGTAATACTCTTTGTAATACTTCAAGAAGTTAAAATTATTTTAAAAAAAAGGATCTACATGCTAAATGATAAAAAAAAAAGAAAATACAGATTATATAATCACAGTGACAAAACAGAATTCTCCTCAATTTTGAAAAACTGTCACTGTGTCTTAAATATTGGTTTTCCCTATTCTCTCTTTCCTTTCCTTTGCGATTCTAACTGAATGTGGGCAGGGCCTTCCCATGGTATCTACTCTTCTTCTGTGTTTTCCATCCATTTGTTTCTCTGTACAAAGAATTTGAGGCCTAGGATATTATCTTTCTCCAGAGATATATTTCTAGGATCAAGATGTTTTAGATTGCAGTTCATTTGAGGACTGCTTTGCCTCCAGTTCATCCTTCGTCCTACAGCACAGCCCTTTAGCATCCCAACCCAAAAGAACAGTATTTTGTTACCAGAGCTCTCACTCTTTTTTTTTTTTTTTTTTTTTTTAAAATATATTTTATTGATTTTTTACAGAGAGGAAGGGAGAGAGATAGAGAGTTAGAAACATCGATGAGAGAGAAACATCGATCAGCTGCCTCCTGTACATCTCCCACTGGGGATATGCCCGCAACCCAGGTACATGCCCTTGACCGGAATCGAACCTGGGACCTTTCAGTCCGCAGGCCGACGCTCTATCCACTGAGCCAAACCGGTTTCGGCGGGAGCTCTCACTCTTGATGGGTTCTTGACTCCAACATTTTTTCCGTTGGGCCCATGGAGCTTTCCAAAGCACTACTTACACCACCGGAAACTGATCCTCTTTCTATAACTTGAAAGCCTTTAACTCCATAATCATATTACTATTGCCACAAGTAGAAAGCTAGTAAGATAAGTTGCCAAAATCAGATAATCATCAAAATAAGGAAGTCACCAATCAGAGGCTGCCAACATCTGCTGTTAGCTCTAAATCCACATGACAGCACCATAAAAATGGATCCTACATATCCTGCCTCTCAAAATCTCAAAGCCAGTATCTAGACCTGGAGACATCTGTTCTGATTCTGCCTCGCAAATGTCACAATGCATTTGACTAGCAGAATTCAAATCAAATCCAGAAACATAGTTGCAAGGGAACCTGGAAAATGTAGTTTTTAGCTTTAAAGCCAGGGCAATATAGCAAAGTACACTAGGAAAAAGGATGTAGTGGATGCCAAACACTATTTTCAAAATCCACAGACACATGTAGTATGATACCATTTAATAAAATTTTAATCATGCAAAACAATAATATATTGTTTACAGACATACATAGGTAATAACAGTCATGATTGCTTCGCTTAATGATGGGTATACATTCTGATAAATGCAACCTTAGGTGATATCGTTGTATAAACATCATAGAATGCACCAACACAAACATACATGGTACAGCCTACGACACTCCTAGGCTATATTGTATAGACTATTGCCTCTAGGCTATAAACCTGTATGGCATGTTACTGTACTCAATACTATAGGCAACTGTTTAACACAATGGTATTTGTCTATTAAAGCATATCTAAATAGAAAAGGTATAGTAAAAATGTTATGAAGATAGCGGTACATCTGTATGGGGCACTTATAATGAAACTTGCAGAACTAGAAGTTGCTCTTGGGTGAGTCAATGAGTGAAAGGCGAGTAAATGCGAAGGCCCAGGAATTCCACAAGGCTGTGGTTGAGATGGCAAACCACTTTAACCCTACACGACTGTAGACTATATTTATAAACACTGTATACTTAGGTTACGCTAAATTTATTAAAATTTTTTCTTTTCTCAAATTAACCTTAGCTTACTGTAACTTTTTTACATTATAAGCTTTCAAATTTTTTGATTATTTTGTAACACTTCGTTTAAAACAAACACATTGTACAGCTATACAAAAAATATTTTTGTTTATATCCTTATTTTATGAGATTTTTCCTCTTCTTTTTAAACTTTTTTTGTAAAAAAAGAAGACACACATACACACATTAGCCTAGATCTACACAGGTCAGAGTCATAATATCCTTTACTGTCTTCCACCTCCACACCATGTCCCACTGGAAGGTCTAACATGCATGGGATTGTTATCTCCTATGATAACGCTTTCTTTTGAAATATCTCCTGAAAGACCTGCCTGAGGCTCTTCTTAAGCAGGTGTCACTCTTTTCAGAAATATGTCCATGGTGGTTTGCTTGTTTCTTTTTTAAATCAAAGATTTGCTTGTAAGCAGATAATGTACCATTAATACAGAACATTCCTCTGTATTAATGAAAGCCTTTCAGTGTGGGTTTATGTCTTTAAACTTTTTAAAGAGTTTGTTGAGGTCTGCAAAAGTTTCTGCTAAACCCTTCACTGTGAATTTTCTTAAGTATTTTCTTTCTTCTTTTTCTTCTGCAGCTTTCTTTTCTCTTGCTTCTTTAGCTATACATTCATGTCCCAGTTCTAATAATCCCTCAGTCAATTCCCAGAACCACCGTTAGGTCATCCTCATTCACACCAGGGTTAAAGGTGTTTGTCATCTCAACCACAGCCTTGTGGAATTTTTGCAACCTCTTCATCCTTGGCAATTCCTTTAAGTTATGAATGAACCTCTTGTCTTCTTACATATGCCATTCATACATTCCTTGGTGACATCACCCCCAACCCCGAAGCAAGGTTCTTGATGCAGTTATAGATGTAATCCTCCCAGCATTGCTGTCTTCCTCAGTTGCAGCAATAGCCTGAGTAAATAGTCTTCAGGCAGTAGACTTTAAACAGCACTATAACTCCTTGGTCCACTGGTTGGATCAGAGGGATGGTGTTCAGAGGAGGAAACACCACTTGATATTGGGATGAAGATCACCAATAGAAGGAGGATGCCTGGGAGCATTCTCAATAATAAGCAAAACCTTGAAAAGTATTTTATTCTCCAAACAGTACTTCTCCATTTCCCTGGTATAGCAACTCAAAAGGGCATCTTAGAAGAGAAGCTGGGTCTCCCATGATTTCTTATTGCTCCTGTAGCATGCTGGCAGTGTGCACTTATTGATATGCTTGAAGGCTCTGGGGTTCTCAATGTGCCAGATGACAAAGGGTTTCAATGTGTAACCTGCAACATTGCCCCCAAGCAAGACTGCTATCTTATCCTTAAAAGCCTTCAAATCTGGCACTGACTTGGGTTCCTTATGGATGGAAGCCCTTTTAGGCATCCGTTTCCAGAAGAGGGAGGTTTCAGCAATATTCAATATTTGTTCTGGCAAGTAATTTTCCTCCACAATCAGCTTATCTCAAGTTTCCAAAAATTCCTCACATCAACAGTCACTTTCACATTATGGAAGGAATAACGATTCTTGAATTGTTTAAACCACCCAGAACTAGCAGTAAATTCAACACTGTAGTCCAGCCTTTTTTTCAACATCACAAACAAAATTTTTGCTTTGGCCAGAATTGTCATGGTATGAGAGGGACACACTTCTGTGTCTGGTCTTCATGCCAGGTTATTGGAAGTTTCTCCTTGTCTGATATAGGTTCTTCTCGAATTTTCTCTTAGTTTGATTGCCTTTGATGAAGCAGATCCTTCAACCATTTCCATCACTTTGTTGTCTTTCTTCAGCTATGCTGAAATGGGACATGCCTGACTGGTGAACAATAACCATCACTGATTTCTCACCTTCTAGTCCTTAATTACTTGGCCTCTTACTGGCAACATTAGCAGTGGATTCCACACACTTAGGGGCCATGATGAACAAAATAACATGAAATTAAAAAACATAAGATAAAATGATACAATTAAGAAATGCAGCAAACTAGATGTATCATGCTGCTGCAGGCTTAACATGTATACTGGTTTACAACAAACTATCTAATCTAATAATAGACAAACATGGTAATTAACCGTACCTTCGCTATGCTTCCCATGGACTAATCAGGGTGATATGCAAATTAACTGCCAACTAAGATGGTGGTTAACCGCCAACAAAGATGGCGGCTAATTTGCATACTGCAGGCAGGGTAGGACAGCGCAAGCCGCCATCCAGGCCCCTGTGTGTGATCCGGGGGCGGGCGGGGGCTGGGGCGAAGGCAAGTGGTGCCGATTGCCTTGCCCGAACCCTCGCCTGCCCACTGGAGACATGCGGGGCCCTCTCTGAGAGAGAGAGAGAGAGAGAGAGAGAGAGAGAGATTTAGAGAGAGGCAGAATTTGGCATCCCGCATCCCTCTCTGATCTATCACTGTGATTCCAAGCCAGCAAGGGCTGCCTTTAGGCTGCAACTCCAGGTCCCTCATCCCCACCCCAGGCCCGAGAGCACAGTGCTGGGCAGGAGCACCCAGGGGTTTGGGAATGCAGCGGGAGTGGCCGGCACGACGTGGGGGAGGGGCCGTGTTTAAACCGCCAAGTCCCCCACTTCTGCCCTGGCCCGCGCATGCCTCCTCCTTCCCCTCAGAGGCCCAGCTCCTGCCTACATGCTTGCTGGGCAGGCCCAACTGCACCGGGGAGTGAGCCATGGTGATCAGGATGGCCACTTCCTGGGATGGGATGGCCAGACCATGGCGATTCATGAGGGCGATGAGGCCCGTGGGGCAAGCGCAGCCCTTGGGCAGCAGGGGTGGCCAGCCAAGCCAAGTCTGGCTTCAGTAGGGCCAGTGGCCAGTGGGAGCCCGAGGCCACCCCAACCCCCACAGGTCCCGGGCGGATGGTGGCTCAGTGGAGAGCAGTGTCTCCATGCATGGTGCCCAGGGGCGGCTGTGAGCTGCTGCAACCCCGCCCCATGCTTCAGGGAGCAGGAGAAGGCTCGCAGCCACCAGCACCCTAGGCTGCATCACCTGTGCCTCAGCCTGCCAGATTGGCAGGGTCCAGAGCAGGTGAGCTGTTCCCTTCCCCCAGTGGTAGAATAGGGAGGAGAGCGCTGGGTGTAGGGAGGGGACCTAAGCTGGGATCCTCCTGGTGTGGAGAAGGGGCCCAGCCTGGGCCCGGTGGGGAGCTTAGGAAGTCTGGCTAAGCAGGTGCTGGTTCATACCAACTCTTACTCTGCCATCTTCCTCCAGCTCTTCAAGCTAGCCCCCCTGCCCCACCTGTCCAGGGAAACAGGCTCTGGGTGACCTCCCTGAGTTCAGACCGTGGACCCAGAGACCTCAAGGAAGAGTGCCTGCCTGGGCCCGGGCAGGGGCTGATGCAGAACTACCAGGGCAGAGTTGCTTTGGTGTCTCCGTGAAGTTTGCAACTGACCCAAGGAGGAAACCCAAGAGGGGAAAGGCTGGGAGGCATGAATTGCCAGCACTTTAGCCACTTGAAAACAGCTCCACTTGGAATGTGAGGCGGTTGTATGTTCAGCTGAGAAGTGAGGGGGCTGAACTCCACCGTCGCTGGGCTCCTGTCAGTCTGAGGCCCAAGCGTCCGCCACAACAAGAAAAGAACAGAGCGAGGGGCCCGGAGGAAGGGAGGATAATTGAAGAAAACCGTGTCTAGACTTTCCCCAGCCCTCTCCTTCTTTCTGCGGCCTACAAGAGCCCCAGGCCTGGACACAGTTCTGTCTCCACCTTTTAGTCCCCTATTCTCCAACCACAGAGGACAGAAATAAGGAAGGAGTCTGTGCTACCTTCAGAAAGTATCTATATACCTGATCGGCCAGTTGCCTTCCACAGAGGGATGCCAGACTGCGGCTTAGGCCCATTCCCCACAGGGACATCAGTAGGACATCCTGTGAGGGCTCCCAGACTGTTAGAGGAGGCAGGCTGGGCTGAGGGATGCTGCCAAGTGCACAAATTTTTGTGCACTGGGCCTCTAGTTTTTTTATAAGTAGAAAGAGAATGCTCAAAAATAACATTAAGTAGTAGTATAGTATAGTAAATACAGTTGACCATTGAACTGAGCAGGTCCACTTATAAACAGATATTTTTCGATTGACCCATGTAGTTCAAACCTAAGTTCAAGAATCAACTCCGCAGTTGAGAATCTGTATGTGCAGGGCTAACTATAGTTATACGTAGATTTTTCAACTATGTGGGAGGTTGGTGCCTCTAATGCAGGGGTGGGCAAACTTTTTGACTCAAGGGCCGCAATGGGTTCTTAAACTGGACCGGAGGGCCGGAACAAAAGCATGGATGGAGTGTCTGTGTGAACTAATATAAATTCAAAGTAAACATCATTACATAAAAGGGTACGGTCTTTTTTTTTTTTTTAGTTTTATTCATTTCAAACGGGCCGTATCCGGCCCGTGGGCCGTAGTTTGCCCACGGCTGCACTAATGCCTGTGTTGTTCAAGGGTCAACTGTACATAACCAGTAACATAGTTGTTTATTATCAAGTACTATGCATAACTAATTTTATGTGGTATACTTTTATACAACTGGCAGAGCAGATTTGTTAACACCAGCTCACGAAACATATGTGTAATGTGCTACAATCTTATGATGACTATGATGTTACTAGGTAATAGGAATTTTCAGCTCCATTATAATCTTACTAGAGGCCCGGTGCACGACATTCATACACTGGGGGCAGGAAGAGGGGTCCCTCAGCCCAGCCTGCACCCTTCCGCAGTCTGGGACCCCTCTGGGGATGTCCGACTGCTGGCTTAGGCTCAATCCCTGCAGTCGGGAGAGGCTCCTGCTACCACTGCTGCGCTCGCCAGCCGTGAACCCAACTTCTGGCTGAGTGGGCTGACCACCAGGGGGCAGCTCCTGCGTTGAGTGTCTACTCCAGCTGTGGGCAAACTACGGCCTGCTTGAAATGAATAAAACTAAAAAAAAAAAAAAGACCGTACCCTTTTATGTAATGATGTTTACTTTGAATTTATATTAGTTCACACAAACACTCCATCCATGCTTTTGTTCCGGCCCTCCGGTCCAGTTTAAGAACCCATTGTGGCCCTCGAGTCAAAAAGTTTGCCCACCCCTGGTCTACTCCCTGGTGGTCAATGCGTGTCATAGCGACTGGTCGTTCCTCTGTTTGGTCAATTTACATATTAGGGTTTTATTATATAGGATGAGACCACTGTCATATCTGCAGTCTGTCGTTGACGGAAATGTCTTTATGTGGCACATGACCATATACAAACAAGATGGCTGATGAAAAGCTGAAGTCCCTAGGGGAGAAGAGAATATGAAAGAAGTTTATTTCCTCTTAGGAGAAGTTTAATCAGTATGAGTAGACATTTCCAAGTAATTGCTAATCTCACTAGAAATGCAGATCAGTTGTCAAAAAAGTACAGTTTGCATAGTCAGAATTGCTGGCTTGTCCTGATTTCAGGTACTTGGCCCATCAGAGGATCCTTAAGCTTGTTCCCTATGTGACAACAGTGTCACAACCTAAAATAATATTCTTTTCCTTGGAACTGTAGTCTTGATGAGTAAGCTTTACTCCTAGCATGCATATCAGTATATTACACATCATTACCAAGAGTTCATAGTTTACCTTAGGCTTTCACTATTGGTATTGTACATTATAGGTTTGGATAAATTTATAATGATATGGATCCACCTGTATAGTATCATAATGAGTAGTTTAGAGAGAAAGGAAGGGAGGGGGAGAAAGAGAATCATCAATGTGAGAGTAGAACATGGATCGGCTGCCTCTTGCAGGATGGAGCATGCAACCCCAGCATGTGGCCTGACCGGAATTGAACCAATGACCTTTTGGTGCACAGGCGAACGTTCTACCAAGTTATCCATATCAGCCAGGGCTGGACAGTCCATTTTTAAACCAATCAAACAAAATTTATTTCTGTCAAAGCTATACCTCATTTTCATTGAAATAAATGTGTTGATAAACATTCCTGTGATATCTATCGCACTTTCTAAACCTAATTCTAACTTAGAAAATAGAGAAGGAAGGAGATTGTTGTTCATATGGAATAAGGTCCTGCCTAACCCCTTTTTTTGATTTCTATCATGGGACTTTTTTCCTTTGGGACTATGCACTCTGAAATTTCCCTTCTTTTTGGGGTGGGGGAGAATAGAGATTTTTATAGCCTGGGGCAGTGAACCACAGTAAGAATTAGGATAGATGAAAGCTATAACTTTATTTTGTAGTGGAGGTAAGGGCTTTTGGATAAAGCAAAGTGGAAAAGGAGAAGCATCCTAGCCAATGTGGCTCAGTGGCTGAGCGTCAACCCCTGAACCAGATCACAGTTTGATTCCTGTTCAGGGCACATGCCCAGGTTGCGGGCTTATTCCCCAGTGGGGGTCATGCAGGAAGTAGTTGAACAATAATTCTCTCTCTCTCTCTCTCTCTCTCTCTCTCTCTCTCTCTCTCTCTCAAATCAATAATAAAAATGTATATATAATAAAAAAAGAGAAAAGGATAAGCAGAAGACTTCAGGCATTTATTTTTAGGAGAGATGATTTTTAGGTATGGGTACATCTGAATCTGAAAATCTGGAGAATAATTCCCTTAAAAATATAACCCAGTTTAAAGATTAAAGATCTCTGTCCTTGGATTCAGGTGGGATAAAAATATTTATATGTTGAAACTTCCTAAAATTTCTCTTACAATAAAAAAGCTAACAGCTCAGTTCTGCTAAGGGAGACAGTCTGGATTCTAAATTTATATTAAATAGAACTATACCAGGCATTAATTTTATGAGTTTTCCCTTCGTCTAAGTATGAATAAAGAGAAAAGCACTTGAAATCTTCCAATCAAAGAGCCACTAAAAAGATTAATTCACCTCAGAATGTTTACACATAGAGGGAGACACACAGACGGTAGAGCTATTTAACACGTCAAACTGAC